TATATTTTCATCGGACTTTGATCCCCTTCATAGCTAGATCGATTGGTATGTTTGTGAACAAGGAAATTACGTCTAAAAACACAAGCAAATGACCATGCTGCAGTGTAAGACCTCTCAATTTGTTAACAAGATCATCACTATTTTTTACATAGCTATTAGCAACTGGTATACTTTTCTGAATCAATTTATTCAAATACTCAGCAAAGTGATGTAACGGACTATTAATCGTGGAAACAATTAATCTAAACGGATTATCTTTTTTATAAATTTTTGGTATTCCATAAGCCCGGGGTAATAAACCATCACTAGATTTGATGGATTTGTAAGTAAGATCTGAAATAAATTCTTTTTGTACCCAATTTCTTAACAATTTATTAAGACCATCCTCTATGTTTTTTATAGGATTTCTATTAACGCGAGAATACGTCAAACCATCACTGAGCATTGCATTAATCTTTTCTAAATAAGAAGTCCTACCAACAGCAACAGTCACATTACCCTTATCCGCGCGTGTAAATAGAATATCAGGATGATTTTTTATGAAAATCGAAACCTGTTTATGTCGAAATAACAATTCTTTATCAATCTCGCTCAATCGCTGTGATGTACATAAATAGTTGGTTAAAATTGGGATAACGTGCGATCTCAACGATTCTTCGATTTTTTTATTATTATTATAGAACCTTAAATTATTTTCAAAATCTTTTATCACCTCTAATAAGTTGTCTTTTCTAATAATAGGCATGCTAAAATTTTCGCCTAGTTGTAAAAGTTGGACAACTACATCTGGGATATCAAAAGAAGTCAAATTAACAAACCATTTCTCCTTAATGTCTAAAAGGAAATTTGAAGTCAAATTACTAAAACTACTTGCGTTAACTTGAATATAATCAAAAGCAGGTGACATTGGTTTGTCATTCATTTTGTAAGTATATTTATCTCGAATTTTCCCAGAATCATTGTTAGCGCACGAAACCGCATGTTCAACGGTATAAGAGATAGGTTCAATTTCTTTAATGTCAGTACGGATTTTTTTACTAATTAACCAATCGATTCTTTTATAACGTGTAGAGTTTGGAAACACACAAATCTGTCAAGAAATTTATATTGTTTGTAAAAGAAATTGTTTAATATACTTTACAATAGAAGTCCAAAATAATAATTCTTTAAGTTTTTTAGAGATCAAGATTTTAAATTTTCAGGGTAAATTAAGTTTTGATTGGTACCATAAACATACTTTTTCGGGTAGATACTTGAATTTTTATTCGGTCCATCCGCAATCACAAAAAGTTTGTACAGTTTTGAATATGGTTGATAGAATTTTATTATTATCTGACCCTTGCTTCTAACAGAATAATTTTAAATTTATGATTGAGGTGCTCCTTATGAATAATTATCCTTTACAATTTATATTTAGGATTATTAGGAACAGAATTAAATTTTTAATTCATAACAGATTAAATTTAAACATTGACAATAAATTTGTCTGTCATTCTGATTTTGAAACTGTTAAAAAATATTTTGTTGTTTCTTATCTTCCTGATTTGTCTGATTCTTTTTCAAGATTTTTTAAAAAAACTAAGGAGATTTCTTTGGCGTTTCGAAGTTTAAATAAATTGAGTAAATTCATAAAGGTTGGAAAGGATAGGTTAACTCATGATCAAAATAAAGATGTGGTGTATCAAA